TTAGAAGAGACACTTCCATCTCAAAGTTCATCAAGAAATTACACGCCAGAGCCTGTATGTGTGAATTTTTGGACACTCTTGTTTACTCTCAATTAATACTTTCAATTCTAAAGAGATCGGTTAGAAAAAACTGTTATGTAATTATCCTAATTGTTTAATACATGAAATGCCACAAGTGAGTTAGCAAACAGCTATTTCTCTTAGCCACACTGATTCACTTACTTTCTTTTCATTAAAATTTGTCTTGGCATGGTATGAAATGCAGCCTATTTTTCATATTCTTGAACCTTCAAACATACAAGGTTTGTCTGGAAAGTAATGCAATTAAGTTCATAAAAAAAATGTATTCAAGATGTCGTTACAAACGTTTAAAATCCTCATAGTACTCCCCTTGGGCATCCACACACTTTTTCCAGCGACTTTTCCAGGCACAGTACGCATCCTGGAAGGTGTCGACAGGGACCTCATTTACAGCCTTTGTCACGGCAGTTTGAATCACTTCAATGGTTCCAAAATGGGTTCCTTTCAGGGCGGTAATTTTAGTCGGTAACAAAAAGAAGTCTGCGATCACTCACGATCGTCACTCGGTTGTTCTTGTGGGCGTTAGTCAACAATTTGAGGACCAACTTGGCACACGCTTTCCACATGTGCAAATTGTTGGTAATGATGTGGTGCACAGTGGTTTTCGGAATACTGCTATCATCCGAACACTCATTCAACGATCGGTATTTAAAAGGTCACAAACATGAGACATTTTTGTCACTTCTGCTGGTTGACGGCCGTACAGAGTGGGGGTCATTCTCCACCTCTTCCTGGCCATTTTTAAACAACTTCAACCATCTGGAGACTTGAGAATAGGAGAGAGGAGAGTCCCCGTAGGATTCCTGAATCATTTGGTGGGTGTTGGTGAGGCTCTTGTTCAGTTCAGCACAGAACTTGATCACGTAACATTGTTCGATAGTTTTCTCCACTGCGCGTCATGACACAGGCACTAACAGGAGGTTCACAGAAACAGCAATCCTGATGCTCCCAGAGCTCAGAGCAGACTGAACGTGGAAGCGTTGTGAAGCTAAGAGTCCTCCCCCCTTTCCCAACTGGTCTGAACGCGCTGTGACCAGGAGCAGTGGGAAAAAACAAATTGCATTACTTTCCGGACAAACCCTGTACTAACAATAAAAACTTAAGACAATTCACAGGACTCAATGAAAAGATATGACTCCACCCATGTAGGATTAAAAAATCATAGCAGTCAATGTCACACATTTCAAGCTATAAATATGAACTCTAAACTGTTACTGAAAATCCGGTGCTTATTTTGGTTCTGATCTGGCAGACCCTTATACCAATAACATCTACAGCATGTCACAAGCAAAAGCATATTTGTAGATGCCACTGATTTCTTCAATAGTGCACATCTCTTGGCCTCTCCTACTTTCCTTTCTGTCATAACTGACTACACCTGGCTATCTACCCATGGGTATCTGTGGATCCTGTGTCTGTACTATGTAAGTTGTGCAAATGTAAACACTAGTGTACATTACTTTGGAAGCCTTTAAAATCTCTGATCAAACTGATAATATTCAGGGCTTGCAACTTAAAGCTATATGTAATTGATTACTTATATTCACATATAGAGGATGAGCCAAGTCACTGTGCATCTATATTACAAATAATAAAACAATCTCACTCTTAATGTTCGTACACTGGCACAGAAGACGGGTGTCTCGTATGGCAGTGCACGTGCAGTGCTGAAGAAGCATTTGCACCCTCATCCTTACAAGATGACAACAGTGCACAAATTGAAAGAAAGGGACATCAAGCAGTTGAACACGGTCAATAGTTTAGGGATGTAATTACTTCCCATGGAGAGGATTCATTCATCAGTAATCTGTCAAGACAACAGGTCCACAGTCTCTTCCAAAACAGTTCCTCCACTTAATGCGATCTAGAGCTTTCTCCATCAAATGAAAATATCCTCTTCCGTCCCCAAGGTCATCCAGCATCTTCCTACGTCTTCTTCCTTGTCTTCTGATCATTTCTATCCGCCCCTCTATCTTTCCTTCAATAACTTCTTTTAGAAGGCAGTTACTGCGTAAGATATGACCAATCCAATTAGCCATCCGTTTTCTTATTTCGTGTAGGATATTCCTCTGCTCACTGACTCTAAATAACACTTCTTCATTTCTCACATAATCGGTCTAACTGATCTTCTCCATCCTTCTCCAACACCACATTTCAAAGCTTTCCAGGTGTTTCTGATCTACTGCCCTAAGTGTCCAAGTTTCAGCCCCATACAAAGCCATGCTCCAAATGTAGCATTTCACTAGTTTCTTTCTCAAATTTAAGTCCAATTTGCTGGTAAAAAGATTCTTCTTCTTGCTAAATGCAGCTTTTGCCATGGCAATCCTAGATTTCATTTCACAAGTACATCTTCCATCATCTGTTAACAAGCTACACAAATATTTAAAACATTTCACATTCTCCAGTTGGTTTTGGTCTATCTTTATTGTGACTGGGGTTGATTGTCTCGAAATTTTCATTACTTTTGTTTTCTCCACATTCATTTCCATGCCATAGCACCTTCCAATTTCAATTAGTCTATCAATCATACCCTGTAGCACAGTTTCTTCCTTGGCCATTAACACAAGGTCATCTGCATATTTCACAGTTTGAATAATTTGCCCTCCTACTTTGAAGTCACCAAGCCCGTCCAGAGCTTCCTTCGTAAGGCACTCGCTGTACAAGTTGAACAGAATTGGTGATAAACAGCATCCTTGTCGAACTCCTCCTTTTACCTTCACACTTCTTGTCTCCCCTCTGTCCAGTCGCACTTTCTGATCCATGTACAATTTACTAATCAATCCTCTTTCACCCCAGTCGATACCTGTTTCCTTTAGGATCTACATTAATTTGGTCCAATTTACAGTCAAATGCCTTCTGCCAGTCTATAAAGCAAGCACACAGTTCTTCATCTATCTCCAAAGTTCGTTCTGCTGTAATTCTCATCATCCCAATTGCATCCCTGGTTCCTTTTCCTCTTCTAAATCCAAACTGATCCTCTCCAAGTACTCGTATATCCTCTATTTTCCTTTCAATTCTTCGTTTAAGTATCTTTGCTGTATGTGCCATAACGCTTATTGTGCGATGGTCGCTGCATTTTGTAGCTTTTGTCTTTTTCTTTAAGGCAATCATTGCCACTTCTGTAAAGTCCTGGGGCCACTCCCAAGTTTCATATATGGTGTTTATTAGTTTTGTCATGGAGAGGATATTGTCATGTTTTAGTGACTAGACACAGGGTTTGGATTGGCAATTGGATTTATCGAACACTTATAACCATTAACTATGTGTAACTATAATGCTTTTTCTAATCTACACACTTTACTTCCCACTACAACATTTGCCTTCACTAGCCATTGCTAGATTATGGTTCCCAACAATGCAGATTCCTCAGTTTCAGTGTTCAACAGCTCCTGTCCACACTGGCTGGTGACGGTCTCGCACCTAACCCATTGATTCAACTGTCCAACTGACTGCCCAAGTTCTCCTTGTATAATGTCAGCATGGTTCGTATAGAAAACAGTTTCCAACAATTCCTCCATTGTCATGGAAGTGTTTTTACTGAGCTGCTGCCTCACAATGGATCAGGTATTATTACATGTTTACCCAGCCACTTCCTCCATTGTCATGGAAATGTTTTTACTGAGCTGCTGCCTCACAATGGATCAGGTATTATTACATGTTTACCCAGCCACTGCCTATCAGTGGCTGTCTTTTCTGGGTATGCTGTTCTGACTTTCATCTGCCATGTCACAATATTATGGATGTCACACCTTTTTCCAACGAAGGGTGGTTTCATTTATCCAGTTATGGCAACAGCCAAAACAGCCATGTCCAGTCAGCAATTAATCCACATGAAAAAAGCACATGTAATCACAAGGTTGGTGTCTGGTGTGCCAAATCACAAAACTGCCTCATATTCTTTGATGACAGTCACCTTGGAATATTACTGTTAAATGATTTTTAATCCCAATTATAAAAGACAAGTCCTTCCAATGTGACTATTTCAGTTTCTCACCTCATGATTCACTAGCCTTACATGTTTCGATCCATTTGGATCATCTTCAGAGGCACCAAACACTTTTTAGAAACCACTATTACAACAGTTGTCATATCAAATACACATGTATTGTCAAAGTACACAATGTTCCATCTATCAGTCACAGCAGCCTTTCTGGTTATAGTGTTTATTCCGAGTTCGGTTGCGTATGTCTGAGTAAGCTTTACAGCTTTACTTGAACCTTTTATGTTTAGGTTGGCATACTTAGGTATGATGTTTTTTGTTTTTACATGTTTGACTGAACCATATGTGTGCGTTGGTTCTTAGTAGTTTACTTTTTGTGTTGATGAACTGATTTACCAATTTAGCTTGACTAGCTTCGATGAATTTGATTTGTTACATTTTGGTCTGTCACACTAACAGTTTTAATTTTTAATCCTTTTATGGGGCATTTAAATGAAGATCAAATTGCACATGACTACTTATAACAGGATGGTGCTACTGCACTCACAGCTTGATGTTTCAATGACAGTACTGCACAATGCGTTTGGGGACAGAATAATTTTAAAGGGCATATGGCCACCATGGTTGTCCAATCTTACACCCCTTGATTATTATTTGTGGAGAGCAAGGAAGGTGCAGTTTACAAAAACAATCCTCACTCTCCTCGAACTGAAGGGAACCATTGCAAATTCCATCAGGAGCATCTCTCTGACTGAGCATCTACAAGCATATGGGGGGGGGGGACTTCCAACATTTTTTGTGAGAAATGTATTCATATTATCGTACAGGGACTGAATATACTGTCTACAGTAGGTGTACAGGAACTTTTGGCTCATCCCATATTTTACCAAAACTTTGTGACTTAAGTTGATGGTAATCTTCTCCAAAAATTTGTTTAAAAGCATATATATGAGCAAATATGTTGAGAAACACATATTACCTTTGATAACAGTTTTAAGTTCACACTTAGAAGGATCAATATTGTGTAAAGCAATAAGAAGCTCTGCAGGAGTAAGAGGTGATGTATGGTTCACACCCTCCGAGTGTGTTCCCAGTAACCTAAGAATGAACAATGGCATATCAGACTAAAGTCAAACTCAAATAATTAAACTGTAAAAAACTACAAAAACAAAAAAACTGGGCATATGGCCATGCTTGAATCTATTTTATGTAGTAACTCACTTCAATATTAACTAACTCTGTGGAACACAGTCCATGAGAAATTGACATTCAGCTGACCATGAAATTTCCAGCCCTTCTGTGGAACCAAAATGTTGTTCACCATGTTCACAAAGTCTACCATCAGACTCTATCCTAAGCCATGTTAAGTAAGCCCATACAAGAATATACAATTTCACTGTTTGGTAGTTTGAAGTCTGTGAATTGCAGAAATTTCTGTATTGGAAGAAAATGATCATACAGCCAAAACTTATATAACTAAACCTGAGCTGTAAATGCTTACTCTACTAACAATAATCCTGTTACACAGCATCCAAACAGCCAAGTTGCCACAAACTAAACTACTAATTTACAATTAGCAAATGCCTGACTGAGAATATATTGTACCCAGTATGGCTGTAAAACCTCACTATAAATGGATTTAAACATATGTAAATATAAAGTAGGACAGAATGTGATGGTTACATTTTCTTCTCATGGTGCTTGTTTAGGCATAGGTTCTTCTATGTGTTCTCTGGAAAAACTATTTAATTTCTCTGTAGCTTTTTTTTGGGGGGGGGGAGATTTTTCCTTATATAAACAGAACTCGTTGTATGCATGAAAGTCTTAAAATCAGCAGAATGTATTGGAAAAGTAAGTGTAAGTTTACATGGTTTTTGAAGTGAAGAATAGAAACAAACCTGTTAAAGACTTCTTTCACAACAACAGGGTTCAGCTTGATAAGTTTTGGTAATGCAGCTATAACCTCCTTCTTTGTCAGCCCATTCAGTACAGGAATCAGGAACCGTACATCAGACACTCGTGTGTGGTACAGATCACGTACCCGTGCAACCAACTCTGCACTTGGAGGAGCTGTTTATGCAAGACACAGTACATTACGCAGATTATGGGTTCAGACCATGAATGTAAAACCATACTTTATCAGTCATTCATTGTATAGGCTAAAGTGACATCTAATAAAATGCATACATGACTTCCAACCCTATTCGGAATACACTCATATTTGATCACACAAGTACAAGAAGCTCTTATGACTGTTTTAATTTAAGAGAAAGACTGGCCAAATTAACTAACGGTGGTAGGGAGACCTGGACAAAGATTATTTAAATGCCTGCTGCTGTTTTGCATTTAAATCCCCACTGCTGTGAGACATTTAAATGTCCTTTGCTGTTTGGCATTTTAAATCTTTTAAGCACTTTACTAAAAATGCTGTATCTAATACAATTCTTATGATAAAGGGATGAAATTAACCTTGTTTTGATCAGCAAAGAACGTAATGTCACATATTATAAGATAAGATTTGAAAATATCGAGGCAAAAAAGTTATACCCCTTTTTTTTATAATTTTGATGCATACTGCACAAAAGAGTTTCCTGCTTCGTCATGAAGTGGTTCTGCATTATAAAACCATTCCTTTCCATAACACTTGAAATATTTCCACTGTCTCTGTGTCCTGAAACATCTGGAACCACTAAAAACCTTACTTTCTTATTTTGTTCATAAGGTTCACACTTGTGCTACAGTCTTCAGGTATTCAACTCTGTTGACTACAGGGACAGAAAGGTGAAAGTTGGAGAATTCATAAGAGACTGGAGAGAAAATTCATCGTTTTGTACATCAGTGCCAAGCCCTTCCATTACAGCTGCAAGAAAACACTGACCTTTCTATGGTTACAACCATTGTAGCCGAGATACAGATTGACTACATTCAGTTTTCTGTGAGTTCACATTGAATTCAAATATTGCAGCTTCATTTCACCGTTCATAGCAATTAAACATAATTTGGAAAAGGATGAAATTGAAAGGCAGCTGAAGTGCAAGATGTGTGAGGTGGACTGTGCCTTTTCAGCTGCTTCCAAGAGTACCATATAAAGGTGCAAATCTACGTAGGTCGTATCAAAAGTCATGAGCAACTTTTTTGTACGGTGGTAGGTGGAACTAGCTGTTGTGCTAACCTTGAGTTCCTTGTGACATCAATAGCTTGCATCATGTGAGCAGTATCACTTCTGACAAAATGGCCGACAACGATATGTCATATTTTAGCGTCCTGTTGCACTGATTTATGTCCATGATTTATTCCAGCCGTCTTACAGTGCATACACTCAACCACTTCACTCTTCACTCCCGCACTACATGTTTCGGCACAAAGGTGCCATCTTCAGGTGCTTTTTGATTTACGTTAAACTACTTCACTGCATGCCTTGCCGTCTTCGTACTAAAATAACTAAAATATATGTTCATCATATATATTGATAAATATTAAATATTAAAAATATTAACCTTTAAGAGCCGAGCGACACCCTATGACGTCATGAAAATAAAGACAAGGGGACGAATGACGCCATATGTCGTCGCAAATTCCATGCGTGCAGT